ATATAAATATATATATTTTATATAATTAAAACCTGATGAAGGGGCCCCTGCGTGGCCCCGAATCATTATTTGACAGCCTGCATCAATAAAGACGGATTGTTGACACAAGTCATAGGGGTGCGCTGGTAACGTTTTCCATTTATTTACCCAACCTAACCCCATCGTTTGAATTTTACAAAAATAATTGGGTAATAAATGTTTCGTAGCATAGGGAAAACTGAGGGTTTGTTTGAAAATTTACAATACGTTTTTCTTTTTACAGTTAAAAAAAAATTTAACAACCGCAGTGGTGATTAAATACCACCAAAATAAAGCTCTGTTCCAAAAAAATTGTATAAAATTAATTTCAGTACAGTGTTGCATGACTGAATAAATGTCAAAGGACCGCAGCGCTGAATACTGAAAAATGGCCTGGACAGGAAGGGGGTATAAACACCCCGGTCTTCAAGTAGATACTTACCTGTCCTGCCAAATGATGCCTCGTCTAAGCTTGCTAGAGGCCTGGTCCCTTACTGTAGCAGATGCCAGGATCCGACACTCCCAGTAGTGTCTAATGCTGACCATTCTTCTGCAAAGATTGGATGTTCATAAAAGTGGCAGAGGGCAAAGGGAAGTATTTCTTGGCTTCCTTTGTAGGGATGGTGGAAGTTAATTTTTTTGTTTTATTTACAAACAGTGACAGCATCACATTAAATGGTCTCACTGCTGACATTATTTGGCAGGCTGTAGATGGATGTTTGAGATACATTTAAAATGTATTTAACATTAAAATGACCTGTATGGAGGAATCAACGCACAGACTGATTTTAAAGCCTATTTCGCTAGCCTTTTTATTAAGAACATGCTAGAAATATTGAAGGTGCCATTCTTTGCCCCATAAAATACAATTACTTGATTTTAGGGTTTTCGTGTTTCGGTTATTATGTTCATGTAGAGTACCAGGCATATATTCAAGAACAGTTACAAAGCTGTGTCTATGCTGATCTTTGCCCATGCATCTTTTGTTTACATATGAGGGTATTGAATTTTATTGTAGTTGCTCATTTTAAGTCAAACCTTTAACTGTAGATGTGTTATTTAAAACACACACGAAACTCAAGAACTTACACGGCACATAGGCTTAGCTAAAAGAACACTACTACTACAGAAACTACTTTGTTTGAGGCAAAATAAAAATAAATAGATAAAAGGGGACTTTCATCAAAAGAAAGAAACAGGCAGCCTTTAAACGTAACAAGAAGCCAAAAGCTCCACCTGTTGACTCAAAAGAAGAAGAAAAAATGATAATCTATATAATTTCTTACAGTATTTTTATAATATCCATCTTTCTTTCGACTAAAAAATATATTTTAGTTTTCAGGCCTTAGGATAATGACAAATAAATTAAATTTAAAGTATTCATTACAACATACACTGCAATCTATTATTCATTACATTCTTTGCACTTACAGTTTCTGCACTTTACTTGTTGCCTTAGGAGGTTTCTTTTCCTCCTCTGGCTCTTCTTGCTCACTGTCGTCTTCATCATTTGATGCATCACCCTCCTGCTCTGCAGAACTGCCTTCATTCTTCACTGACTTTTTTCCTTCATCTTCGGAGGACTCTGCTTCTTCTTTATCATTATCACTCTCCTCTGGTTTGCTATTTTTCTTTGTTTCTGAAAGAAACACATCTATAAATTTTGCAGAAACCTAAAGAGAACCAGTCATGAAGGGGGGTATGCAAGAAACTGAATCTACAGTCCAATTTGTGCATCACTCGGCTGTAGATCCTCAAATCATCTCTGAATTGGTGCGGACACTGTCCTTCCTTCTGGAGGGTGACTACTTTTTGTTCCCCATAGTCCCTGTGTTGTAAAGTAGCCACCGCTCCAAGCTCGCTCCCGTAATGGACTACAATCTCAATGCAGAATGGTCAAATGAAAAGAAGATTGTAGCCCATCAGGAGCTTTAACTCCTGAGTTTAGTGTCACTTTAAATTTGTCTCTGTAATGACTCTGGAAGCTAAGAAACATACTCGGGTATGATAGTTTCTGCTCTTTCAATGGCCATAAATACTTTTTTCTTTTTTATAAAAATACTGCATGTGATAAGTGCATGCACCAATCTGCAGCAACCCCCCAAACCCATCCTGTCATGGCAGGAGTAAGCTTTGGCATTTTCAGATAGTGGCCAGGATTCATCTGTGACAGGATAGTTTTTCAATGCCTATACTTTATATCTACTGCAGTTTGTTTTTCAGTCTTGATGACAGAGTCTCATTAAGTGATGCACACACACTGAAGGAAATTTACCAAAACGGGAGCAGACAAAATCTGGAGCAGCTATGCATGGCAACCAATCAGCTTCTCGATTTCATTTTCAAATCTTAACTGAAAAAACTGAAGAGAGAAGCTGATTGGTTGCCATGCATAGCTGCTCTGGATTTTGTCTGCTCCAGTTTTGATAAATTCCTTCCACTGTATTTTCCAGTATCTGAAGAGTATCAGAGCCCTATAGTTGTTTACATTCTTCCGATTTACAGGACTACTGCTTTTCACACACTCAGGAGGCCCGAGTGTTATCAATATGAGGTTAGGCAGAACAGCAATTGTCAGACCATAAAGACACCATTCACCTTCAACTCCCAGGGTCAACAGTCACACTCTAAAAAGGTAAACTAAATAAGAGCAGAGATCTAAATCTTTCACAAGTAAGCCTGGACATATTTTTACTTTCACAAGTCAAATCATAACACACCAACTGCTTGGAAGCCATTATATTTATTACCCTGCACCTCAAAGTGAAGAATTTACTTTTAAGCTATGTATTAGTTTAAAAAACAATATACAGTATTAAACCAAGCAAAAGCACTCAACATTCAGTAATGGCTACTGCAAAGTTTATGTTCCTAAAGAGAGTCAATGACCAAAATAAAAAAACAGCAAAAGAAAATAATTAACCTGTCCAGAGATCCATTCCTGGGACCTTTCTTTTCTTTAATTGCTATGGCCGTCAGCAGACTCTAAAGCATCCAACATGCCTGCCTCCCCCCATCCCATACCTGCTGTGGACATCCCTGGGACACAGTAAGGCTATGGCAGCTGCTGGGTGGAACCGCAGCATTGGACCAGGTATCCCATACCCAGAAAATGGGTTAAATGTTGAAGATTCTGCCACTCACTTTGTTTAAGAGAGCAAAGATTCAGGGAATGCCCAGAGGAACAGGTTTAAAACAAAAATGTGTACAGAGTTGGAAACATGGAATTCCACAATACTGACTTACCATTGGAAGTTGTTCCCTGGGTAGCTGTATATTTATCTTTTGCTACAGCCCAGTCAACAGCGACCGTCCGATCTACAAAACACAGAAGATATATTTTTGAAACATCATACACACAGCCAACAGTTTAACATATCATCAAGTTAAACATTTTCAACACATACATTTCCGGAATTTTATGATATATGATAGTGAATGGTTTCTTTTTTGTAATAAATGTGGTTCAATAAAAGGAAAATACAATTCCTTGTTTTGTCTTCTTGCCAGTGTAATACCTATTAGATCCAATTCCAAGCAACCTACTTGTTGGCAACAATTGCTAATTTGTTCAAGGAGGTCTATGGACTATGCACAGTTAATGTAAACAATCCTTGCAACTTTGGGTTAAGGACTTATTCACAGGGCGGTTCCTGGCCGCACACCACCCAGAACAGTGTATTTCTGGAGTGCCAGCGATTTATGTGCAGTTGCAGACAGAATTCTATATCAATGGGAGGTCGTCACTGTTTGCGGCTGCTCACATGTAATCCCTGGGCAATTACATGCGCCTAGGGATAGATGAACGGGGCTGTGTGTAGACTGTTTCCATCCATGGAAGCTCAACTATTCATAACTGTAGGTATTCACTCCATGTACAAATACATGCAGACGGCTGTGGAGCCTCTGAGCCTGACATTATACAGGGCGAGTGGCCGCAGCAGAATGCTAACATCTGGCTGTACCCACCCCAAAAACACGCTGTTCTCGACTAAAAGGAGAACTATGAGGTGAGTGCTTTTCACTCACCTCATAGTTCTAGCCGACCTGTGACAATGAGACTGTCACAGGTCGGCTCAGTAGATGGGGAAGTGAGCGAACACATACCGGCGTTCGTTCACTTCTCGATCCTGTCACGGCTCTCTGCCAAATACCAGATGGCAACTATTTGTGTATAAGAGCACCCCCTAGCTTTCATGGATCCTGGGGGTATCCAATAAGATTTAGCTCTAATGTAAGGACCTCCAAAGAATGTCAGTCTTGAAGGTTTACCACAGTCAAGGTACACTTTAAAGTGCTTATAATAATTACTGTATATTCTTACGATGAACACAGTTCAGGATATTACCACATATTCTACAGTTATTTAATAATATGCCTACCTTTTATACTCTTCATATTTGTGCCTTTCAGTGCTTTGCTGGCTTCCAACATGTTCTTAAACTGCACAAAGGCAAAGCCTCGCATTTTCCCGTCTGGAAAAAAAAAATTACATTATAAAAGGTTATCTAAGAGAATGAACAATATAAGAGACTAGCTGTATAATGCTGACAATATATTCATATCAGCAGCTCATATAAAAGGATTTAAACTGCTTCTTCCCTCCCCATATTGTCCAATTTAATGAGGAGTTTTAGAATACAGAAGTGCTGGAAAATCTGCCGTGGCAGAATTTCTAGAGGCACCATAAATGCTTTCTAAAGGCAACACTACATGGAAATGCAGATTTTTTTTTCTTTGCTTTTTGCCAATGCTCCCTATATGAAGCCTATCAGATATACACATGAACTGAAATCTTGTAAGGTACACTGCAGAGCCTTACAGCCAAGGTAAGTATGCAAAAATAACTATATTCCGCTCTGACATCAGAGCATGGCATAACACTGTCATCTCATGTGCCATGAAGGCACAGAGACACCCTATTTGAGTTATGTGGGGAGGTGTCCAAGCTCCCAGGTGAGAGTGAAGTTACTTTTTGATGTCAGCAAGCTTATCCTCCCAGTTTTGTGTGAGTAACTGCTCATCCCCCCGATGCTATTATGTCGAATGCTCCCCTGGAAACATAACCTTGGCAAAGGCTAAAGAAACAGAAGAGCACCTGGCACATACTAATAGTAAAAATATTTAGAAAAGGCACAGCACATCGGTACCACTAAAATGAACGCTGTCAAAAATATAAAAGTATTATTTAGATATATATATAAAAATATAAAACAGACACTTTTTTGCATGGGAACACACACAATCATGTCAATCAAGAGGCAAGTTTGTTAAATATCTTTGTGTTTAACATTTTGTGCAAAACAAAGAGTGGATTCTGTCAACATTTCACAGATTACAATTTGTGTAGCACTGATCAAGTGTTGAATAATGTTGTTCTCTTACAAGGTGTGTCATGACCCAAGTGTACTTAGGGCACAGTAAACCGATAATACAGCTCTGGATAGACTGATGTATTCAACAGCCAACGGCTACTTTGACCATTGGAAACAGACTTGCCAATGACATGCATAAGTTAAGAGGGGGCAAACCTGGCTTTTTTGGGATGTTCAGCTCCAGCACCGTTCCAAAAACAGAAAAATGCTTCTTGAGATCTTCTTCAGAACACTGTTGAAGAAAAAGCAACGTCAACAGGCACGGCCAGCAATCCATACTCACGAAGGTGTTATATGCTAATAAGACTTTTAGCTTGCAGCTTTCATTAGATAAGAAAGAATGCTACAGATAAATACTACATTGTAGAGATGCACCGATACTTTTCAAGCTCCTAGACTAGAGAAAAATTCAAAAGTTAGGAAGCAGCTGTCATTTGTAAGGAGCACACGGAGCTCCTGGGATTTGTACATCTCTGTTTTAATGTACGATTTTGTTTTTATAAATATAAATAAAAGGGATGCACAGATACCAGTATTGCAAGTACTGATACATTTTTGTTTATTGTCATGTGACCGTTTTTCTGAAACAATACAGAGTAATGATTTCAGGACAGTGGTGGAACACGAGAGCCAGGTCCCAGCTGCAACCCCGGTAGTTCTCATGAAAATGCCAAATATTGGCACTGGTACTCAAAAAGTATCGGTGCATCCCTACTACATGGGCAGGATTCATACTACACAGAAAATAATGCGTTTGCATATATTGCGCTGCATTTAAAGCACTAAAAATGCATCAAGGTGCAGGAAAACACAATTGAACACATATAAAAACATGTATGTGAATGCAGAACACTATAGTGTGATCTTGAAGTAGTTTCTTGTTAGTACATTCTGCTGTATAAATTCATATACCATGAATTTTTTCAGTGACCAATCACTACAAACAATGGTCAATTCTCCTCACACCGGAGAGTAACCTAGCTTCTATATTTGAAATACCATGCTTCTTTTTTTTTTTTCTAATACTGAACCTTAAAACTCAAGTTTCGGATGATAAGTCTTGCTTTCTTGTATTGTCCTTTCCCATCTTTAGGCTTCTTTTCCACCGAGGTGTCAGCAGTTTCTGAAAAAAGTATCAAATTCATGGGCACCGTTTTGTAAGAAAACATTGCATTTTATCGGCCACAAAGATCTTAGCTAAAAGGTACATAAATTGTGTTTTTGTTTATTTAATCACAAGTAGGCGCACCTTTGCTTTTTGATTTCTTATCCTTATCAGTGAGCTTCTTTTTGGCAACCAAGACCTCAATTCTCTTCCCATCGTATTCCTTGATTTCTTTCATTGCTCGCTGGGCATCTTCCAGCATGGAAAATGTGACATAACCAAACCCACGACATTTTTCTGTACCTGAAAGAATAAGTGATTGCATCTAAATTGAAGATATAAAAAGGTTTGGGTTTTCAAAAGGCAAATGATAAAATGATCACTATACAGGCAAAAGAAAATCGTTAACTTATAGACCAGGGGTTCTTCACCTATTTACAATTAGACTCCCAATGAATTGCCCAGTATGTCCCAGTTATCTGTTCATAAGACCAGGGCTGGACAAATCCCACAAGCTAGGCAGCCACAGCTCCTTAAAATGTACAAATGGCACACAACTTTTAAGGTTTTCCTCTAGTTATTGTCGTCAAAGGAGCTGGCTCCTAAAAAAATCCTGCTGGCTCCTGGATTCCATATTAATTAGTCCAACCCTGCATTAGACTGTCAATGTAATCATCATCACTGGTACTATTAGGTACAAGTAAGATTTTATAGAATAATTCTCGGCTGGCTCCTAGACTGGTCCCTTCAGAATCACTTTTACTGTGGACCTCTAGTACAGTCTTTCTCAACCTGGGTGCCTTTTGGCTTCCTTAGGGGTGCCTTGAAATTTTCATACAGCATCATACCTTTCTATGGTGCAGGTGAGCTGGCCGTCAGCAGCATGTAAATGAATGACGCTAATCCAGGGAGAGTGGGATCCATTCAGAAAGGGACAGAAGTTTGCCTGCATCCAGGCCTGCTCTGCCTTCTGCCTCTGCCATGCTGCCTGATGGGATGCAGGACTCAGATGTGAAGGGGGGGACTGATGTGATGGGAGCTCTTGATGTGAAAGGTGAGACTCTGATATGAAATGGGGGCTCCTGATGTGAAGGAAGGGGGCGTCTGATGTAAAGAAGGCTCCTGATATAAAAGAGGGGCTTCGGTTGTGAAAAAAAAAGGGAATATGATCTGAATGGGGAACCCTACTTTTTGTTGTTTTTTGCATGGGGTCCCCCTTTAAAATCCATACCAAACCCCTATCCCAGATAAGGGTCTGGTATGGGTTTTGGAGGGATCACACATAACTTGCATTTTTATATGTAAATTTTTTTATATTTTGGACTGAGGTGCCACGAGAGTATGCCAACTTTTAAAGGGTGCCGTGACTGGAAAAAGGATGAGAAACACTGCTTTAGTACATGAGTGCGTCCAAACTAACACTGCCAAAGCGAAAGCCCCATTTGTGACTAACAAGCACATTCAAGATCCCTTAATTTGACTTCTGTGTGCCCTATCTGGATTCAGAAAGAATGCTTCATAGAAAGATTTGACTTCAGCCTGGCCAGGAGCCAATCCCAATTCCTTAACAGTCCTGTGTGACTATCCTACAGAATCATACAAAAGAATCAAAAAAGATTCCTACACTAGTTTGCACCAATTCCAGATGGGTTCAACAGTTTTGGTGCAGTTATTGAAGAATGTTTGGGGCACTAAAAGGCAACAATAATTACAGAGAGCTACACTGTAGCTGAAGTAGGGTGCAAAAACCTATGTGACTGTCTCTTGCAATGTAGATGCCCATCAGATGATAGTCCGTTATCAGTTACTTTTGCAAACCATTGTGTGATAAATTGAATATTTTCTTTGTGGAGTTCAAGAATACCTCAACACACATTTTACCTCGGAGAAAACAACTTTATCCATTACTGAAAGAGACTTCTCAGAACGTAATGAGTTCAACACAATCAGAGATGGATGAGGTTATTTATTCAGTCTACGAGCCAAGACAAACTCTTAAGCCTTTTGTGCAGGTGCGCTGGTCACAGATCGATAACAGATGTCAGGTCAGATTAGTAAATTTATTCTGTACATGTAACAGCATCTGGGACGCACTCAGTGAAAACAATGTTGTCAATAAGCACTGATAGCAGGAGTCAAGGAAGAATTTACAGCAAGCCTGGCTTGATATTCTTATGCTCCTCACTTCATCTAGTGCCCATAAAGAACTGTGAATGCAGTACACAGAGATTTAAGCTTTGCAAACGTTTTATAAATTGATGCCTTAAAAGGAGAACTATGGGGTTAGGGCTTTTCCCCATAGTTCTCCTTAGGGTAACGGGAGGACACAAACTAGCGTCCTCCCGTCACCCTAAGCTCAGTATACCGCGAGCTGTACGCCACAGCTGAAGCGGATCCCGACAATTATGTCTGGATCCGCCCAGCTGCATGAGCGACAGCTGGCTCTGCCTATCTAGAGGCAGAGCCAGCTGTACCCGCCCCTTTCCGCCAGTCAGCGCTGGAGGATCAGAGCGGGGACCCTCCCCTGTCACGGCAGAGAGCCATGACAGGATCGAGAAGTGAGCGAACGCCGGTATGTGTTCGCTCACTTCCCCATCTACTGAGCCGACCTGTGACAGTCTCATTGTCACAGGTCGGCTAGAACTATGAGGTGAGTGAAAAGCACTCACCTCATAGTTCTCCTTTAAAAGAGAACTATGACCAAACCTTTTTGTGGACCATAGTTCTCTTTAGGGTCACAGGAGGACATTTACAAATGTCCTCCTGTGACTCGAAATTCAGAATATAGCAGGCTACTGCCCACTATATGCTTACAGCTCAGGGCCCCGCTTCAGCTGGGAAAGATCCCGACAATATTGTTGGGATCCACCCTGCTGTCTGATTGATAGTTGGCTCTGCATCTCTAAAGGCAAAGCCAGCTGTCCCCGCCTATCTCTCCAGTCAGCACTGGGGGAACCAAGAGGAGAAGGGAGTGGAGAAATCCCTGCAGGGAGGGTGACTGACAGTCACCGCTCTCTGCAGGGAGAAGATCGGGAACTGAACGATCTGCGATATGTGATCGCTCAGTTCTCGATCAATATAGTCCACATGTGACAGCTGCAGCGTCAGACGTCAGCTCTAACGATGGGGGTGAGTGCATTTCACTCTCTCCATAATTCTCCTTTGAGGTGCACTTATAGCCAAAAACTGTTTTGTAGTTTTAGAGAGGTAGATTGAAGATGGATCAGAACACCCTTCAAGTTTTTATTGCTGTCCATGTCCTGGCTAGATGGATTAACCCATTTGTCCCGGTGACCACTGCCGCCAAATAAAAAGTAATGGGAACTCCAAAACAGAGTGTAAAGGAAAATATTCTGTGAGAAACATTTCTTCTTCACGACAGGATTTTTGTATATCCGCACCACCCACCTTGGGTTATAAGGTCTGTGCGAGGTGGTGGTGCGATGTGCTATTTCAGCACATACAGTTTACTTATGCAAATTACTGTTTCTTCATTCATCATCCCTATCATGATATAAGGGTCTTGTTGGAGGATCTGAGAGTAGCAAATCACAGGAGACAGACCAGAAATAGCCATAACAAATGAAAACCCTCTTCACGCTGTACGGTCAGTGCGTTCTGCAATGCAATATGACCCGAGCAAAGGGGAACAGCTACCAGCATGGGACCGGCCATACCCGGAGATCAGCTCGTACAGTGCCCGGCATTACCTCTGTCTCTGACCACGAAGCATTGTCTGATCGGTCCGCTGTCACCGAAGATCTGCTCCAGCCTCTCAGTGTTCGCATCGTTGGGAAGACCCCGGATAAATAACGTGAGACCCGCCATACCGCACCTGCCAATAGCAATCGCTACACTGCAACACGCTACCAACTGGGCGCCGCCATCTTGCTCCACCCGGAAGTCCTTTCTCCAATGTGTTCCGGGTTGTACTTGTGACGTGTGATTGTAAAGCATATAGGCTGATAGTTTTTACCTTAGATAACAGATACTTTCTACATTACTATATAAAGACCATGTCACCAGACCATTCATTTAAAAAGAATATGAAAACGTAAGCCTTGCAGTCGGACTACCCCTGCACTGCAATGGTTAAGTGTTTTATTTTTGTTTAGGGTGCTAACATAAAGTTATACTCACTCAAACTGCGATCATGGATTGCTGTTAGATGGGTCCCTGCAGCCCCACTCCTCCTCTGCTCCAGCGATGGAATATCCGTATACACTGTATAGGAAGTTATGACTCACAGGACCTTAGACCGCAGAAGCAGAGGGGGAGCAAGGCTATAGGGAGCAGTCTAGGAGGAAGCCGGGATCGCAGCTCGGATGAGTATATTTTAGCTCCCTAGACAAAAGTGAGCACTTAACCCTTGCATTGCCGGGGTAGCCCCACTACAAGGGTCACAAATTCATATGCCTGGAGTTTTTCTTTAACAACATTATAGGTGTGTTTTATGTATGTGATTTACCTATACAAGCCTCCCTTGTGTAGACATCCAAAATCCCTGAGACTGCCGCTGGAAGCTGCCATCTTAAAGAAGAATTATGGGGCGAGTGAAAAACACTCATCCCATAACTCAAGCTGACACTGAAGCTGTCATAGGTCGGCTCTATTGATGGGGAAGTCAGTGAACACACACCGCCGATCGCTGACTTCCCGATCCTCTCCCTGCAGAGATTCCCTCCCTCCCTTCTCCGATCCTCCAGCACTGACTGGGGGAACAGACAGGGGAAGGTACGAGCACAGAGAGGCAGAGACAGCTGTCAATCAACTAGCAGAGCACAGAGAGCCAGAGACAGCTGTCAATCAACTAGCAGGGTGGATCTCGACTGTATTGTCACGATCCATCCCGGCTGCAGCTCTCAGCATATAGCGGGCACTGTACTGAGTCTTGGGTCACAAGGGGGTATTAGTATATGTCCTTCTGTCACTCTGAAGAGAACTATGGCTAAAAAGGGTGAGGCCATAGTTCTCCTTTAAAAACAAAGTCCACCTTTTCAGGTAAAAAAATAAATTCACACATATTCATAAAAGAAAAATTGTGCATTTATTAGTATTTTGCATAGAAGCCAGAAAATCATTGCAGCCGTGACTAGTGGATTATGGGAGCAATGCTCTGGCTCCTGCAGATTCTCCTGCCCGTCCCTGTCCGTACCTTAAAGTAAAAGTAAACATTTTTTTGCATATATCTACTGTCAGCAATCAGAAGAAATATGCAAAAACATAAAAAAAATAAAGAAGTTACGAAAAAGGTTATTACTTACCTGTGTCTCCACCGCTCACTCCCGCCTAAAGATCTGAAGCTTCTCGAGGGGCCGTGAAGGATCATGAGGCATGTTAAAGATGTCACCAGCACACCATATGGAAGTGAAGAACATGTCAGTTTATTGAAGCTTCATGTCAAAACAAATACAGTTTCGGGGCCACACAGGGTCCCCTTCCTCAGGCTTGAAAGGACACTGGGGCTTGAAATGGATCTTGGGGCGGGTGCATGCGCAGTAGAGATCTTCGGCTGGGAGAACAGGAGAGACACAAGGTACGTCAATGCACGCAGCCAGGCAGACACCGTGGGACAAAGAAGACGCAGCAGTCAGCGCTGGATCAGAGACCGGCACAAGCGCTAGAGGGACTTCTGAAAACTACAAGAAAGAAGAAAATGATCGGATCAAGAGGCATCATTTAAGGTAAGTCCCTACACTAGCTTTGGGGGAAGGGGGGGTGACTTTAATGTCACTTTAAGTAACAGTGCAGTAATGTCACCACACTTGTATTTCATTGAGAACTACAAGTCCCTTTGCCGCAGTGACTGATGGGATTTGTAGTTCTTTCATGCAGAGATCCTGCCAAAGGATCTGTGAATGGATGATGTGGCTTTGTGGGCGGAGTGGCTGTCGGACTACCCAAACAGTGACTGCTGCTGCTTGGCTACCTAGAGTCATTGTTCAGCCAACAATTTTGCCAAGCCGGGTGATGCTGGCTGGGCCACCCACAGCTCGAATTTTGTCTAATGTAGCAGAAACAGCGGAATTTTTTTGTAGTGCACAGCCAGCTTATGATGCAATGTCAGCAGACTTAGAACTGTCACTCACATGACACTCTATTGCAGCGGTAGTCAATATTGGCCCTCCAGCTGTTGTGGAACTACATGTCCCATGAGGCATTGCAAGACTCTGGCAGCCACAGGCATGACTCCCAGAGACAGAGGCATTATGGGATTTGTAGTTTTGCCAAAACTGGAGGGCTGGAGGTTGCCTACCCATGTTCTATAGTATTTCCATTCACTCCTTCCCCAGCAGCTTTATAAATCATTTATGAAAAGCATAAACACTACAAGTACTTTTCTGTGGTTTTACCTGAAATTTTGTTACTTGGTGACAGGGTCTCTTTTTTTCAGCCAGTAGGGAGTAGGTTTGCCATCTGGCTGGTATTTTACAGGTCTTGCTGGAAAACAATAGAACTTGTTGCTAATGTTATTAAAGTGACACTAAACTCAGGCGTTACATCTAACAAATGCATTCAAGACCCTAACTATTAACAATAATATATCTTATTTGTGTATCACTCGGCTGTAGATCCTCAAATCATCTCTGAATTGGTGCCGACACTGTCCTTCCTTTTGGAGCAGTGGTTCTCAACCTTGGGGTCGCGACCCTATTGGGGGTCACGACACGATTTGCCAGGGGTAGCAGCACACTTCCACCTCCCCTCTGCTAGATGGCTAGAATTATTATAGATAATCTCCTCTGACTGGTCAGGTGTCCCTTGTGATACAGCTGCGCCCTCTCACCTCTGGGTGGCCGCTGGGTCCTTGCAGAAGCTTGGCCATTGATTTGTCAAGTTTCCACCGCGTGGCGGCGGCAGCCAATAGAGAGCGGGGACATGACATCATATCCCCGCCCCTCTTGAGCTGCACCACCGCCACTCACCATCCCAAGACAGCAGAAAGGTAAATGACTGTCTTTTAGCTTTGCAGAGCTGTGTCACTGCGCGTTTCCCTCCTCCTCTTCCTCGGCAGTTCAGATAATGCTGCACTATTAAGCAAGTAGCCCAGATCGGGGCTTTATTTGAACTGCTGAGGAGGAAGGATACATGCAGTGATAAGGCTCCGCAAAGATTTCTTCTGGAGTGTGATCCCAAGGGGAGCCATGCTGTATGTAGCAAGGGTAATCCCTTTTTAATATGTGTATACTGTACAGTGAAGGAGGAGCACAATTCATTTTAGTAGGGATGCTCCCATACCAGTTTCTCTGTATCGAAAACAGCGCCGCGAGAGACTGGCTTCCTGGCCAATCATGAAGATGACCCGCTGCCTGGCTTCCTGAATGGCTGAGAAGCTGGTTTTATATTCCCTTGCGGCACTGCACACTGGCTTTCTGACCAATGAGGAAGGCGGGTGGCAGGTCATGTCCCACTGCCACTTCTTCCTGATTGGCCACATCTTCCTGATTGGTCAGGAAGCCAGGCTGACTGGCAGTGTTGCAAGTGTACATGGCATCTCCCTCTGACCTACAGCTCACACAAACATATACTAGTATTGGTGCATCCCGAAATTTTACCATTGTGGGTCACCACAACTTAGCAAATGTTATCAAGGGGTCCTGGCCCTAGAAAGGTTGAGAACTACTGTTCTAGAGGGTGGCTACTTTTCTTCCCCATGGTCCCTGTGTGTGTTGTAAAGTAGCCACTGCTCCAAGCTCGCTCCTCTCATGAACTACAATCCCGTGCTTAGTTTACTAATTTGTATTGAGATTGTAGTCCATCACAGGAGCAAGCTTGGAGTGGTGACTACTTTACACCACACACAGGGACCATGGGGAACAAACGTAGCCACCCTACAGAAGGAAGGGCAGTGTCAGTATGAATTCAGAGGTGATTTGAGGCCAACAACACACATTTAAAAAATATGGAGAGAAAAAAAATGGGGATGCGGCAGCAAAAGGGTTAAAGATATCAAGAAATAAATGGAGAAAACTACCAAGTGCAGATTTTAAACAGGTAAAACTGTCAAAATCAACAAAAAATGATAAAATAGGCTCTGTTAGGGTTAATATCAATATCATTCTCTCTAATCACTAGATTGCTGGACAATTGGCAATGTAACAGCACATTAGAATAAAGTCAAACATTGATAGATTACTTTGGGTCACATTGCCCTAGTACTCCCAACTAACGACAAGTATAAATGAACTTCCTGAACATCATGACCTTAGCAATCCCATTGCACTTTGTACATTTTCAGTACAGTGCAGTGGTGGGGCACAGCGCACCATGTGAACAAGAAGAATGAACTTCAGTAACAAGGCATTGTAAGCACCAAAGAAAAACAGGGCTTCTTCCCCACCATCTAAAAAAGTGTGTGTGTGTGTGTACACAAACCAACATTTTATGAATATATATGGGCTGATGTATAAACGTCCCGCCCAGCTATATACATCAATACAGCAATCCCATCACTAGATGGTGCCAAAGAGCATATTTCCTATGCTCCTCAGCTCCATCTAGTGGCAGGAATGCCATGCAAACCGCATTTGCCCAACTATAGTGCTGGACGGAACATTTATGCATCAGCCTTATAAACTTTACAAAAGTTATATAGAACTGACCAAAAATTACAATTTCCCTTTTAATTAATAATTGCACGTGTAAACAAGAAGAAAACAAGATGTTCCCTGATGGGTGAGCAGATAAGTGCTGAAATCTTTGTTCATGGCAGTACTGATTTTATATCTTTTTCTGACGGCTTGTTTGTAAAACGCTGATTTTTACCAAACTTAATTTATTAAGACTTTCTTTATGTGAAATATCAATCCTGTATCTAAAGTCAAAACATTTTTTTTTTAATTTCAGATGTATTGTTTCAGTTTGTATTGGTGTCTATGTCCCTGCAGGGTATATTCA